GCTGGTCCATGATAACAGCTGGTCCATGATAACCACTGGTCCATGATAACCACTGGTTCTAACTGTAGTAATGCAGGATTTGACCCTGAAGTCAGTGTTGAACATCAGGATTGGTCACGTCTACGACAGAGAAAACTGTTGGAAATGACTGTAATCATCCTCACAGCCCTGCAGTAGGAGGGGGAGGAGGGGGGGGTTGGCAGAGGTTGTGTTCAGGTCTCTGCTCTAGTCCTCCATCTCTGGTGAACAATTCAGGACACAGTGATGAGGAGGAGGATGAAGAGGGGGAGGAGGGGGAGACGTTTCTTCTGACTCTCTGACCTTCTGAAAATGGAAAGAGCAGCAGAGAGCGAACAGAGGGAGGAGGTCATTTATCAAGGCCCCGCCCCTTACACACACACCCCCCCCCATCAACCATCACCACTACCCTGGGAGGGCAGGTAAGGTGAGTGTGTGTGTGTGTGTGTGTGTGCGTGGTTCTGAACCTCAGTGTGATTGGCTGTTAGTTTCTATGAGTGGGACCCTCCAACTTGACTAACCCCCCCCCACCCCCCCTCAGTGCATCGCAGATTTTTTTTATTCCAATCTTGCGAGTTTTACTATATTGCAGTATATTATGGTAAATACTTTTTTATATAATATATTATTATTATTTTTTTTTTTTTTTTCTAACTTAAAAAATCTTAAATAAAAATCTAGCAAAGAAAATCAACTAAAAACATGGCAGTTAGTTTTGTTAGAGATGGAGCCGAGCACTGAGCATGCTCTTCTGTTCCTCACTCTGATTGGCTCATCCATCGTAGCATGACTCATCCTCGCCCTACCCCCCCCCTCCCCCCCCGTCTGTCCTCCTCCTCAGTACGTTAGTGCCCCGGTGGTTGGTGAAAGTTGATCAAAAGTGTGATCAATTAACCAGCTAGACACAAAGGCAGCATAGACTCAGGCCACGTATCAAACTCAGGGCCCAGGGGCCAAATGTGGTCCGCTCCAGTCACTTTGTGTGGCCCGCAGAAAATTACCTTGTAATAAAGTTTAATAAATGTAAAGTTTTATTTGATCACTCGGAGCATGTGACCATATTTGTAACTTGAAGATGTATAAATCTGTGTGTTTCTGGACAGGAGTACTCTGTAGAGAAAACCTGTTACAGTACACACACATACTGCAGTATTCCAGAGTATTTGTTCAGGAGTCCATTGTTGTAGAAACACAGGTGTAAACACGGAGACGTACTGGAGTTAACCGGCTCTTTATCTGTTTGCAGAGAGCGGCGAACAGTAAAGTCACACACACACACACACACACACACACACACACACAGAGGGTCAGCTTGACAAACACCTCTGCCCAAATACACACACATGCACTTCCTGAAGGGCAGCCAAACCACACACACACACAGAAAGGCTGTTCTGTGGCAGCTGGTTCAGGGTTACACTGTGTGTGTGTGTGTGTGTGTGTGTGTGTTACTGGGCGACAGCGACAAACCAGGGCACAGCTATTTATACAGAACTGATGCTGATGGAGTTCTATCTCACAC